ATCAACAGAAGTACTTTCAAAGATACACTGGCAGTGGAAAAGGAAATCAGCCAAGAAAAAAGTAAAAATCCACAGCAACAGTTAGGTTTTCAGTTAGGTTATGAATTTTTGAAGTAATGATATCACAGAAGCCAATAAACGAACAAGTAAAAAAATCACCCTCTCAACATAGAAAAGCCCCTGGCATTAGATTTCATAACACAGCATCCCTTAATACCCTTTTTTGCCGAGCGGGTAACATTTCTACACTAGAACTCGCCCAAAATTGGGATGGTTCACTGTCATAAATTTTATGTCCCTGTAGCTTTGCGATTTGTTTTTGCTTCAGTTTGTGTAACTTCACGACCTTGGGCCAGTCAGCAAAGTTTTCTCACAAATATTTACAATGAGAGTTCCCAGTTTGAAATTGGACCCCTCCCTCGAGATACATGCAGCTGGGGCAAAAAGGTTTGCGTACCCCTGGTCAAAACAAAAACAGTTTTCCCCGAACTTCACAACTTCACTCATTCCTACCAACTTCTCTTTTCACGAGGACAGACAAGATGGGTCTCTACTTCGTGTACATTGTGTACATGTATGTGTCAAATAAAAACACCCAGAGAAATATATATTATTCATGTTTATGTTTTAAAAAAACCAAAATTTTACATTCACCAACGCTATCATTTCGTGCCACTTTCTGTATTTTTTGTCACATCTCATAGTCGCAGTGGACCATTTTCTGAAGTGTTTTTGAAGGACAACAAGGGGGTAGATGTCAATTTTCACAAAATGATTTTTCAGAATTGTTAATATTTTGAACCATAATAAATGTCTTTGAGTATTACCAATTGAAGTACACACTATGAACATTAAGTTGAGATACATTTTATCTAACCTCAGAAAGAAAAGGTTGGCAAAACTATTTCAAAGAGCAAAAAATGGAAGGAAACTGTTTTTCTACCAAGTGCATGTAAACTTTTGGCCCCCGATTGTGCATGTACCTTCCTGTAATAGACTGGTCCAGTAAGCTCCGCCCACTGTGCACCTGGGCACTCAGCCTGTGCTCTTCTCCAGTGCCACACTATGGGTTCCAGCTGTGCGCATCATGCGCGTGCATACATGTACATGTCGGGCTTTTTGTGCATGCATGTCGGACACAAGCCCCGGCTGTGATTGGTCAGAAAAACAATGGGGGGTGGGACTTCATGGATTGATCTATTGGCCTGTCATACTTCTACAATGGAAGTTTGTACATTGAGTTTTGTTTGTCTCAGATTTTGCGCGTCCTGCGTCCAGTTTGTATATCATGTCATTAGACAATATTTCATAAGCTGCATTGACGCGATTCCAATTTAATTTTTTTAACAAGAGTTCATTTTTCAGTTAAAATACTGAACATGCATTTCAGATCTCAAATAGTCTTATATTTGAGAGGAGTAGAAAGATTTATAAAACTTGTTCCCAAGTTTGCATCGTGGACCCTCTAAGTAAACCATTCATTTGAAGTAGTCGACAGCAAGCCCCAGAAGCTGTTGTGTAATATTTGGACGTTCCTCTCTCCTTTTATTGCAGGACCCCAAGAGCAAGCACAGTTTTAGACTCTACACCTACAGCAGCCCCACTTTTTGTGACCACTGTGGCTCGCTGCTGTATGGCCTGATCCGTCAGGGAATGAAGTGTGAATGTAAGTATGGCTGTTTATTAAAAATTCGTTAGGAAGCTGGTCAGTGTGGGATTATGCAAGGTCAAGATGCTGACCCAAGTCGGCTCTGCACTGTGATTACAGTGCTGTAGGATTATTTAGCACATATCGAGATGTTACGTGTACATTGGGATTATTGTTTTGGTTGGGGTACGTTCAAGCGAGGACCATTTGTCGAGGGGTCGATTTTCTGATTTTCTGTTTCAGAAATGGGTATCTTCCGTTTTGCCAAATCCCGAATTCCGCTTCAGAAATTCCAATTCCTTTTCATACCTTATTAAGCGTGAAATAGGAGAGCGAGTTCAAAATTATGCATGGAAACCATTTGCCCAACTATACTCCCCTCCCCCCCAAAAGAAATAATTTTCTGTAGTGAAAATTCAAAAAATAAGCCACACAATAAATACAGCATCCCTCTACCCTTAATTTCCCACCGGCTAGCGATCACTCGATGGTGTGATTGTCAAAACTTGCTACGATTAATCAACGGACAATTCACGAGCCACTCCTCGCGTATGAAATTAGATTACATACATGTACATGTACAGTGAAGTCATAGAGAAGGTCTTGCATGCAGCAGTCATTGATCACAATATCTCAAGGTTAGACATTGACCTGCCATTTTATTTGGCAATGGTGCCACAAAATTCAGAAAGTTAACACTATTCTGAGCCTTGAAATGCATGTTTGTGACAGAAAACATCGCTGTTCATCGAACACTTCCTGGGGCCCATTCAGCTACGGTACACCAAGCTTACTAGGTCTCCTTTAACTCAAGAAACATGTAATTAGTCTTCCGTATTTCTGCCGCAGTTTCATCATGTCGCCATGCGGTACTAGCCTTGTCTCAAGGCATCTATGGGAATTCACAGACTTAATGCCGCATGTGTGCAATAATCACGTGTGAGTACGAACTTGTTTGCGCCTTGATTTCATTGCTAGTACTTTGGACGTGTGAACTGCCAATGTGTGTACCGTGCCGTACCACACTGATATGCTGTGCCGGCCACCGCAGCATGCTTGAGGCTCACGCAGTCCATAGCACTTGCAAGTATCCGTACCGGCGCGGACGACCCAATCATGCGGTGGAGTGGTGCAACGTACCATGTCTCCAGCGTATTTCGTTCATTGAAGCAAGCATTTTAAAAGGGTTTGGTAGGCATTTATTTCTAGTGCTTTGTGGAAGGTTTTCTTTACTTTTTAAGCCATTCTACAGTGGGAAATTTTGCAAGTTCCATTTCAAGCAGTGGATTCCGTTTTCGAAATTTTGATTCCACGAATTCGCAGAAAACCATTGGCTGTACCCAGGATACATTTTGTGCGCAGGTTGCCGGGGAAAATGGACCAGTGATGGACTAATGGTTGTGGCTTGCCCTTACCCTCGGCTGAAGTTAAGGATGAGGACTGGCTTAGCCAG